GACACATGATCGCTGCCGTATAATCTTTTGTAACTCTCTTGCGTGCTCCTTCTGGGCACTGGAAAGTCCCCCCCCCCCATACTCACGAATCAGGGGCGGCAAACGGCTGCGGGGGTGCACTCGGCGTATCCAGCCGGTGAGCAGGGGGTTATCACGTTGGGGTCACCAGCTGTGGCGACGACAGAGGAAAGGAAACAGAACGCCAGGTCTGTGGTAGCCAGAAAGCCTTCTGAGCCTCAAGCCGAAAAAACCTCCCAGGAAAACTTTCCTGGGGTTTTTATTCTTTCTACCTCTCTGCTTACAACACTTCTAACTGGTTACATTCTTGCGCATAGGGAAAGCATACAGTGTACAACAACATGAGATAGCAAACCCATATCTTGTGCACGTGAAAGCCAGCTGGGAGGGAGACAAACAGGCCAGCCAAGAAGTTTCCCAAATCACAGACGCTGGGGTGAAGGCCACTCCTGCCTTGTAGCCATGGAAACAGTGTGCCGTAACCATGGGCTGGCAATTTAGGAGCTATGCATTCCTACAGCACCACGCCTGGGGGAGATCTCCGTGAACTGTACCATCCCCGGTACCGACAACCAGCTACGACCTGACGTGGTCGTCACCGACGAGGCCCAGAAAAAGATCATCCTCGTCGACGTCACGGTCTCCTCGTAAGCTGGAAAAGGACGCCCCCCGGCTGACACCCTGAGAGCGAAGGGCTATGAGGTGCAGATGGACGCCCTGATTGTCGGAGCCCTGGGCACCTGGGACCCCTGCAACGAGCGTGTGCTGCGGACCTGCGGGATCGGTCGACGCTACGCACGGCTCATGCGGCGCCTCATGGTCTCAGACGCCATCCGATGGTCCAGGGATATCTACATCGAGCACTTCACCAGCCACCAACAGTACCAGGAGGCGTGAGCCAGAGTGACATCGTTCTCCCACTACGAGAAAGGGACCAAGTGACCTTCTCCGTTGGATCATATGAACTAGAACCATAAGTTCCCCATTCCCAGCCCCATGGGCAGCAGCCCCCTCCCTGGATAGGTGCCCCCCTCCCAAGCCCAGCAGGGGGTGAGTGAGGGAAGTCCAAGGGACCGGCTCCCCAGTGAGTCTCTAGCGGGTTGGGTGTCACGGTTACGGGGCCGGGGGGCTCCCGCCTGGGTACTGCAGCTGGCACTGATGTGAGCAGAGCAGGGACGCTGGGGGCAGAGCTGTGGGGGGTGCGAGTGGGTCTCACGAAGGCACCTGGGGGATTCAGGGCCCCAGCTCCTCCCCACGTTTATCTGAAAGGCAAAGAGGGTCAGTTACCAGGAGCCCTGGGCCCCGACGCGAGGCTGGCAGAGATCAGGCTGTTCCCCAATGCTCCCATGGAGCCTCCCATTGATGCAGGGGGGACTAGGTGGGGGCTGGGAGGGGCACAGCAGGTG